TGTGTTCATTAAAAACATTACCTAGAGTATATTAAGTTTTGCATTATTTAGGATATAAATTTCAATTGTCAATTTATCGAGCAAAATTGTTGGACCTATATATAGACATCCCCAAATCTCATATTTGGTCCTATTTCCATCCAACAGGAATGCAAATACTATGGTTATCAATCTGCTTCTATGACGACTCGGTTGCATCATAAGAAGGCATCCTCGGCTTCCTGCAAGTTTTCCTCTGCTTCGATTGCATCCTGCGAAGGCCTCGTCGACATCCTTCAAGTCTTCCACCGCTTCAACTACTTCCCACGAAGCCATCGTCTGCTTCCTACGAGTCTTCCTGCAATTCAAACAGTGCCATCTACATCGACTTTGCCTTCGTTTCATATGCTTCGTTGGCCTTATCTGTGTCGACGAGATTATATGTATCCTACTAGGTATGCATTGTTGGTTGTTGAGCTCTGATTTGTTGTTGTGTTATGCTCGATCTGCATCTACTTCCTCGCTTTGTTGAGATTAATTTGCTTTCTTTTTATTTGGAGATTGTTGAACAGAGAGCTGTGGAGTTATTTGTCTTTGATTGCTTTGGTAGTTCACCATTCAGTATTTAATGACATTGCTTATGACTGGTGAACACAAACATCTTGTGTAGGTTTGGTGTCATAAGTGGCTAAAATTGTGGATGAAAAAATAAATCGCATCAATTATTTTTACTGAGAAAAAACTGTGAGACTCTATTTAAAAAGTATTTTTTAAGAGAGTCACATCATTGATAACCCTCAAGCTGAGACTGAGTTGAATTATTCTGAGTGACTTAGAATGGATGCTCAGTTTTTTATACAAATACGAAATTTTATCGAACCTGATTAATCTGATCACATTACTCATTGCGACTATATTAAAGATGTGATGGAGGAATTGGCATTTGTGTTTTCTAAGAGAGCAAATATTTGTTGAATATTTGACATTAAGAAATTTTATCAGGTTGAACAATAGGGTCAATCATTTAACACATATCACATGCACTTTAAACATGTATGTAAAAAATTGAACGCACTACTGCCCTTTAGTACTGATGTCTAGATTCAGCAAGCTGAAAGAAAATAGATGGCTATCATGTGCTTTCAAGTTGGCCTCAACTCTCAGTATGATGGTGTTAAAACATGGATCTTATATGATCATGGATGTACTACTTTGAAGGAAGTTTACACTAGAGTACTGAGTACGATTGGGAATTCTCCAGCCCCATTTGTAGAACAACTAGTACTCATACTAGTCAGAAAAATACAAACATTATTATCTTCCACCTTCTAGGCGAGCTCCATCGTCTCCTTCAATCCCCACAGTCTCAATAGTTGAAGTGTTTCTCGTAAGTCAAGCTTTAGACCATTCATGAAGTTCCCTTCCAATCATGCTTCAAAAGTCCCCTTATGTTGTTTGAACCATATCTCGAATATCTCAACATATTCCATGACAATCCCCTCCAGAATCAAAGCAAGAATTGCTCGCGTAAGTCTCCTTCCTAAATTTATCAATATTCCAACAAGCAATCCTTAAATTCATTTCACTGATGGATCGAATATCTAGCCTCTCTCAACTTAAACCATGCTAGAATTTTCCTCTACAAATAAAGTCATGTCGTGATGAGCTTCTCCTCCTCATTTAGCCCATTCAAAGCGAAGCACTGCTTCACCCATTACACCCACTCCTGTGTGTCTTCCTCCTCGAAGATCGGCATCTTCAACTTCCTAACTCTAGCGTCACCATCCCAACTTCCTCTCCCTCCGATGTTTCCCCCCATGTATTTAGGGTAAAACTCCCTCCTTAGATCATTAGACAAACCCCATTCTAGTTTCTATCCATCCTTTTTTTCAGTTCTCCCCACCCCCTGCATATCTCCTACATATTTCGACCAAATCCTACACATCAAAAATCTCTAATTCATCCCCCCATCGGAGCCCTAAGTGGGAATTCTTGATGGTGGATGCTTCCTCTTGATGTTCCTCACATTTGATCACTTTTCCATTTGATATGGCCACAGATTCTCCTATTAAATCTTACTTAGGGTTTGCAAATTGAGTCGACGATAGGGTTTTGGATTACATCTCAATAAATTTTCTTACCATCTCCTCCAAGTTCTCAAATTGGTTGTAAGTGAAGATATATAATTCCTCTATCCCAGATTTAAGCTTTCATACCTCTCCTTCCAATCTTTCTTCCAAAGCATCAACTTTTCTTATCATTTTTCCAAGATCTTAGTGAGTCTGACTTCGAATAGGTGTACTTGACCCCGCCTATGATCCCTTCATTAGCCTCTAAGCTATCTTAGATAGCTACTGTTTAAGAGGCTAGGTAACAAAAGTGGCGTTGTATGCTGTGATCCTTCCCAACTAGCTTGAATTATGGTTGTTTCATGATATTTGGTCAAGAAGGAAAACCAATCATTTGCGTCCCAGATAGCTCTTTCCGCGATAGTATTGCATGCATCCCGTTGTGTGTGTCTCAGCTAGTTCATTCTACGACTGTATTGGACGTCACGCTCTAATCCGATCCTATCGTTGTTTCACAGCTAGCTCTCATCGCATTGTATTGAGACTGTTATATGATCTTGTCGCCATGCGTACGCGATCCAATCTACTTCACAGCTCTTATCATGATGTGTTGCGTAATTTCCTATATATATGTAATACATGGTCATGAAGTAATTGTGTCTCGTGATATCCAAATGGGCGGAGACCTTTAAGCCACTATCTTTTTCTTCCCAACAAAGCTGCAACTCTACTTCTGTGAGTTGATATCCCTTCTTCACTTCCTAGATTCCCAGATCGATGCTCTAATATAAATTTGGTACAATCTAAGAAGATTTTTTCTACAAAACTTAAGGCAAATGAATATTTAATTGCAATAATTTCAAATAACTCAACATGAATACATAAAATGAGCACCTACAATTTGAAAGGTAAACGATCTCTCCTGAATCTTACAATTTGAGAGGTAGGAAATATCTCCCGACCAACCCAAAGACTCGATAGACAATCTCAAGCATTCCCCCTAACCCTACACAAATTAGTCTATTTATACTAAACAATAATAAATAACACAAGATTAAATTGCCCTCACAAAGGACTAAATTGCCCTTAATTATTCATGTAACAGTGTTTTCACAAAACATAAGTCTCAAGACGGATGAAGATGTAAGCCACAAAACAAAAGTAACTAAATAAATAACTCATAAAAAATTAAAAAAATTATTCATAAAAAAGCCATAGATCATTGATAGATTTTCTTTGTTCATCATCAAAAGCCTTAGGGGGTGTTTGGTAACACTTTTAAATAGATTTAAGCTAAATCCAGCCAAACACAAAAAAAGGAAAACTAAATCCAACTCTTCATTAAATCTCTTTCTCCCTCGATCTGTCACCTATGCGATGTAAATTCTAATTTATTAAGTTCGGCTATGAAGTAGATTACAAGGATTTATTCCGCCGTGCTCGCATGCTCCATCTTCGTCACGAGAACCAGGATTTAACGGATTTGATAAATCATGTTTAACAAAAATCTACAGCTGCTACCAAACACCCCCTCAAAATACATGATGTGAAAAATTCAGCAAATCTCAATTTCAAATATTAACTTAAAGTGAAAGTGTGCAACTTTTTAAATCAATTGTTCAAACCTTATTCAAATCAAAATTGAATAAGAATTAAACATGGTTCCAACATGTTTGAAATCAGGTTCTAACCATATTTGGAATCATATAGAAAATAGTTTGTTCAAGCCATGTTTTAACCTTGTTCGAATTCAGATTAGATTTGAATATGAGTCAAATCATGTTCAATCATAAATTGAATAAAATTCGATCATGTTATAATACATTTAGATTATATAAGTTCGAACACAATTTCTAACACCTTCTAAAAAATCATTGCAGGCACGTGACTCAAATGCCTAATGACATAAAGCATGGAGGGATATGCCTTAAATAAAAAATGTATAAGTCTCTGGGGATTCTTCATGTGCCTGATAAAAAGACAAAACTTGAGACATGTGCCTCAATGCTTTTTAAATCATACCACAAGGACTAATGATTACAGTGATTAAAATTTTTATTTAGTGTCCAATTTATACATGTCATTGTAAACTCAAGAAATAAAAATACAAAGGACCGCTGCAATCAACACCATGTTTTAACAAACTCACCAATGAAGAAGAGCATACTACTAGTCTTTATGCTTCGTTGCCTAAAGCATATCGAAATATTTATAGCAAATAAATAGAAAAAACAGTATGCTAAATGTCTATAGAGTTCATGAGCCACGCCTGATGCAAAATTAGACAGATTTGTGTTCATGTATGACAAATATACCATCATTATACAAATATAATTCACAAAAAAAAGATCATGAACAAAACAAGTTCACTTTGATATCCTGTTACTATAATAGTAAATATTACTCTGAATTAAGACATATAGCACATTAATTTTGTTTGATCCATAAGCATACTTCAATCATAACGCTAACTTCTACAATTTTTTTATACACTAACAAAGCTTCATTATTTCCTATTTCATGACAAAAAAATGTAACATAAGTTGTCAGATCGACAATTATGAAATGAAAATCAGAGAAAACGTTACTGTGCTGTCTTAGATAAGAAAAATGGAAGGGCTGACTAAATGTAGGATATGATCAAGACATCAGGATATCCCTATCCAGAAGATATTAATCAAGAAGGTTGTGTTTGTTGTGTTACTACTGTCATAGTTGTTCAGGATATTGATAATATAAGAGAAAGCCCAAACAAAATACTAGGTATCCCATTTTTACATTAATACTAAATCGAAACAATTGGAATAAGTTAACAACTTATTACTAAATCATGGATGCATTTCATTAAACCAAGCTACCCAAAATAATAACACGCTTTAGTTTTGGAATAACAGTAACCTTAAGTAATTCTTTTCCAAAAAAGGAAAAAGAAAAAGGAGTTCAGAGAAATACCTTAATGGATTGCATGAACTCTCGGCAATGACCAGCGAGCACTTCTATCCTGGGACCGGTCGAATTAGCAAGCTCATCCATCACCGATCCAGCGAGCTCCAGCACACGAACAATCCTCTGAAATGATATTTCAAAAGCAAAGCAGCGGCACAGTGTAAATGGCCAAAGGAAGAATTAGTTATCTGACCTTGTCGACATGATTAAGGCGCTGCAATGACGTAGACTGGTCCTGATGACTCATCTTTAGGGTGTCGATAAAAAGTCCTTGCAAATTCTGCACGGCACATAAAACCCTAGGAGATACGTCAAGGAGCCGAATCGCGCCCGATCAGGGATCGATGACTAACCTGTTAACTAGACGAGCGCGAGTGAGCCGGACATAGAGCTGACTTCAGGGAATCGGCCTCATGAAAAAATGGGGATTTTGGAAAAGATGCTGGGAGGAGCGAATCCAGAGGAGAATCAAATCGGAGTCGACGCCAGGACAGATGCCGGGTCTGTTCCCTCTAGTTGGCTAAACTCGAAATAAATGTCGGAGGTTGATGGCAATTTGAGTTGCATAAATTTTTTTTAGCCAAAGCAGCTGGATTCTAAATGATCCGATTTTTAGCCACCTTCAAGTCACAATTTCTATTATATCAGGATTCTTAAGGTAGAGCTATGTTCGGAGTCGAATGTAATTACACCACGTGGAGATGACAGAAAAATAAAAATAGCGCAGGAGAATATTCTCTATATGTTATTCTGCATTATTCAGGTGTTATTATGGTGGTATTCATGTGTTATTGTGTTCTAAGAATATTCATGGTCTTATAATAACACAATAATACATCAATATCACCACAATAACATTTTAATAAAGCAGAATAATACATGAAGAATATTCTCCTGTGTTACTGGGCCGAATCATAGGAAAACGAGCACATTTTCTTGAAGTCACGGGTCTGCGTATCAGTGAACTCCGAACGTAGCTCTACGTTAGGAGTCCTGATGAAATATTTTTCCCTTCAAGTCAATATACAACTATTAATAATATAAATGTTTTACATACATGCCACGATAATTCCAATGTATTTACATGTCTATCATTAAAAATTTAATTTTTATGAATAATTACGTACAAATCATCCGAAATATTGATATTTACAAATTATCTTTTTTAGAACTATTGAACCAATGTATTTACGCATGTCACGATCAAATTATTTGGAATTTAATAAAGAATGAAAAATATGGGTTGGGGTTTTACCATGAATTTGATATCTGAGAGAAAATTTTAAAAGTAGATGAAAGAGAATGGTTGATTTGTAAATAGCAAGTTTCAGGTGGTATGTATGTAATTGCCCCAAAATTTTATCTTCATACCACTACATATGTTTGAAAAGGAGCTTCACTTTTTAAAAGCTAATAATAAAGATATTTAGTTGTACGATATCTAAATATGTAAGAAATATATCATATGTAAGTAAATGCCCCAAATAATAAATATAAATGTTATACTATGTATTTATACATATCTATGAGTCGTACGTGAGCAGAAATTAGTTTTGGACCATGCATGTGTTTCATGCAAGCTTAACAAAGTAGTTCAAAATTACAAGAACAAAAAAATTTGTTATGCTCACAAATCAACTTAATAATATCTCATAGAGCAATGCCCATGTCATTGTGGAGATTCGGATTGGTCTAAATCGGAACCTAAAGCATTGTCTAAACCAAAAACTAAGTTGAGCTTATCTATAAATATGAAATGCTACCGGGAATATCTGAATTTGAGAAAATTTACCGCTACGAAGTAACTCTATGGAATTGCTTATCACATCTCTTATAAGAAAGGGAATTATCCATTTGTTATTCTTGAAGAAAAGGAATGTAAATATAATTTGAGATTCATCAATGGAACATGAATGCCCGTGCATATGTAGGAGTTGTTGGTCTGTTGAGAAAGGAATGCAATTGAAAAATATTATGATGTAGTTGGAATATTTTTGAGTTATTTGGTTCAATGAAATAAATATAAGACATTTTGTTTTTGGCTTGAAAAGTAGCATAATTTTTTTTAAAATAAGGTGGAATGCTAAGAGCTGGACGCGGTGGTAGTTAACAGCTCTAATGGGCAGGAGTAAGCCAAAAATAGTGACAAGCCAATGGCAACGTCAAGCGACAATGATGGACTGGCGGCGATAACGGGTGTTGTTCAATCACAACGACAAGTGGTAGGCACCAAACCTCACTTTGCTATGTATTATAAATTTGTTCTCAAATTAAACACTCAAATATTTAAAATGCAACAATGCATTTTCACTTCAAATCAAATAGCCACTTGATGGTTTTGATTCCAAGTCTAATGAGGGTTTTGATTTAGTCATTCTCCAATTAATAGATGAATTTCATCTCTTTTATTTTGGGGTTGTGGTGGGTCTATGTGTGGAGGCGTTGGGCGGCTTAACCATTAATACTTTATGGCCTAATTTTAATATATACCAATAGAGAAATGAAGATTAACTTAAAAATTCTCTATTTAGTTTAAATAATTAAAATGAATGATAGAAAATGAAATCAAAAGCTAAAAGTGATTATAACAGTTTGAGTTAAATGGAACAATAAGAACTCTTTTAGGAAAGAGATGAGTGAATTAGTACGTTTGAAAATAATTATTCTTATAAACTTAAGAGTTTCATAAATAATGTAGAAGGAAGCTTAAATAAATCTAACAATTAAAATCCTTAACTGAAGCACAACATGTGGGTAAGCTAAAGTACAGGATTTGTGATTAACCAAGATGTGTGTGTGTGTGTGCGCGCGTGTGCAAGTTGCATATGTATGTCTTAACTTCTAAGCTCAAATAAATTACCTTACACAATAACACAGTCTATATTAGTTATATTTCTACTTATCCAAGTTATCAAAATAATGGTTAACAAAAATTTATATGGTGATGATAAGTAAATTATGTTAAGAGTATTAAAATTTCTAACAAATTAAGCAAATAGGTTTAACACAATTTCAATTACAATATTCATCACAATAACAATCCAAACATAATTCATGTAACTAAATTGAAATCTAAATACAAAATCATAAGTAATTTATAAGATGTTTGCTCTTTAATCTAACCTACGTCCACGCTAAGACCTCCACTCATAGAAGAACCCACTACTTTGATCCTAATACTACAACAAAATTTGCTTCATAGAAAAAGAAATAATGATAATAATAATGATAAACCTATCATGATCTTGTTCACCAGGTCAAAACAAAATAACCTTGTTGCCAAAAGGTGGATCCTAAGATTTTAATCTACCCTCTTTGAAATGTACAATAAATAGTTAGTATAAGCTAACCCCCTTTTCTAATTTTTTAAAGTAATAAAAAACATAAAAATTTATCTTTCTCACAATCTCAAATGAGCGCATATAATTAGAAAAAGAAAACCTTAAAATAAAAAAAGCACTAAATTACTTTCAATTTTGCTATCTTTAATTGAATATTTTTAAAATTCAATATCAACACCACTTCTATAAGCATGATATCTAACGAAGCAATGGCTAATTTTAATATCATTGGCTCATGAGTGCAAAATAAAATTTTTAGTGCAAGAAAGTTTTTTAATTAAGTTGATAACACTAATGTAATTATATTTAATTGAGAAGTGTTCTAATTCAATCTCATGATACTCTTGTTATTTATATCATAAAAAGCTAAGTAATATAGCTATCTATAGCTTAATTATAATGGTTGAAAATGCCACTTAATCAATTCTATGTTGGAGCAAGCCATAAGTGATGTGTCTATAGACTTAAATGTGATTGTGGTTCTTTTTAATCAAGTAAGGATTTTGTAAGTGTATGTCAAAATTTAAATTAATTTTAGTCATACTATGTTTAATTTTTAGGATACCGTAAATGTAACATAAGTGTGTCCTTCAAAAAATACAAAGTACATCTGATTGTTATTACTTATAACTTTTTTAGATTTGTCTAGAAGAAAGCACATGGAAATAAATTAAACGTAATATCGTGTTTATTGAAAGCAAGGTATAATGTTCAATCCACCTTAATCCCATAAAATTTTTAATCAACTTATTCTTTTCAGAACATGTAAATTCTAAGTTTGTAGGTTTTTTATGGGAGTCTTAATTTCAATAAATTCACATTGAATTGTTCAATAAATTCATTAGTATACTGAATTTGATAGATGGTTTTATTTGCATGCTACTTAATTTAAATTTTCAAGAATAAAGTTAAATTCTTCTATCATACTCTTTTAACATTTATTGGACTTTATAGATGAGAGATAGTGACATAAAGATTCAATCACACTTTTAGAAAATGCATCATAAAATAAATTTTATATAATGATTTAATAGTTTCTTATATTTTAAATAAATATTGTGGTAATATAACCACTTTACCCTATGTAAATCTATACTCAACTATGAAATTGCTTAATGTTTCATATAAAGTACAAAAAGCCTATTTCAAATGATTAATTATTCTTTGTAGTTAAAGTGTATGATTCAAATAATATAATCTCTCTGAATATGAAGATTGCCCACAAAGACATATATGTTAATATAAGGATTCTGAAATTGATACTTAACATTCATTTAGAAATAGTTAAGAATTTTAATAACTTATAAAAGCAATGATAATCTTATAATCGAGATATCAATAAAAGAGCAAATAGATAGAACCAACATAAAAAAAAACTTATGTTTTACAAAACTAATATAAATTATTATTGAATTTGGGTATTATTTGGTGAAATAAAAATATTTTTGATTTGGTTAAGGTCATGTCCAGTTTTGTTCAAGTCAAATTGATATATATTAACCCCATGATTTACACTTGATATTAAATATTTTGGAAATCACAAGCATAGTTTTTTTTTCATAGATAATGAAAACTAATATATATTTATATAAAAATTATATTAACAATTTTGGCATGAAATTAGAAAAAAAATTTCAATTTTTTAGCACACTTAAGGAAAAATAAAACTCAAATGAAGCTCAATATTCATGCTAATCAAGCTAGCCAATGAGTAAATCAACATAATACACTTCACGAGATGAGCAACAAGGTTAACAAGCAAATGTTCAAGACAAGAGCTTCAAGCTTATAAAAATATCTATTTTTTAATAATTTATCTTTTTGTGTTTTCGATTTTAAAAAGTTAAGATAACTAGCACACACAAATGAATGAAATAATTTAAAATGAAGTCAACAAAAAATAGTTAAATTAATTTTACAACATTATATGAATCATATCGTTTTAATAATCATTCTACTTTTGAAAATTACTTATTATAAGAAGACGGATAATTAATGAAATATAATTATTGGACCATAGTATATGATATTTATCACGTGTTATAGTATGTTTGTTTTAGTAGAGTTATTTGCCAAATCAATTTCATTACACAAATAATTTAAAATCTTTACTCTTTGTATCATATGATGTATATTCTACCGAATGAACAACTTCTTTTTTATCATGGTTTGATTAATATAATTATCTTATTTTGATCGGGTCAAATTAATTTTTGAATAGAATGTAGTGTATAATATAAGTCATATCATATGAAAGGT